ACAAACAGGTAAATAACTACGGCCATCTTCACTTGTGGCTTTCCTCCTATAGTCTGCTTACTCGGGGAGAAGAGGTGTCAAACCCAGGTGTCTTCAGCGACACCAGCCAGAGCGTTAACTAGCTTAAAGAGACGTTCAGAACTTCAATGTCTGTAAGAAAACCTTAAATATTGTCTAGTGTAGCATGCCCACACCCCACCACCCAAGCTACCCAACTTAATAAGCAATCAAGAAAATTGGGTAAATAAACTAATACATACATTTTATGCAAAGAACCTGTAGAGCACCATCAACGGGAACACACCAAATCGATCTTGCATTGCATCTTGTTCTTCCTACGATAGTGATTCTGTTCATCTGAATAGAAAAATATTGTATTGCTCTCTTCCCACCTTAAGCTGACTCGCCGTGATATAACTGAAATGCTGTTCAATGCGGCGTTACGCCAAACTCACTCACTCACTCCTGAGTATACACTTTTTGAAGCCCATTTTGTATACAGGTTATATTCCCGCTATGTCTGGAATATTTTGCTAGATGTTTAATGCTGCATTCAGCAATATTCCAGCTACGTGACGGCGGCCTGTACATAATCGTGTCTGGGCCAGACAATCCACTGATTGGCATCATGAGCATCGATCTACACAATTGGGATACGATGGCATGCAATCTACCAATTCACCGAGCCTGACCACCCGATCCATTTAGCTGCCTCTTACGCCCAGCATAGGTTGCTGGAATATTGCTAAAGGCGGGGTAAAACAATATTCACTCACCCTCTTGACACATGATCTCAAACAACGAACTTGTCTAAATGTTATCCCTTAACGTCTATATGTGTCAAGGAACTATCAGGCTCTGTAAATTCCGTTGTTACCATTGTCGAATGCGATAGTAAATAAGGTGTCATTCTCGCGTTGTTTAATCTTCAAGGAAAATGATAGTCATAAAACACTCGGCGTTGCTAGGCACCTGGGTCGCATGTGCTAATTTCAGACGTTTGAAATTGGCATCATGGCAAACACCAAGTGGCCACGGCGTCTTGGCGACCATGTTTGCCCTTGTTTGCATCAAGAGGTTGGACTTGGTGCGGTGTTGGTATCGTGCGGGTCGTTCGATAGCAGACGCTCCTTTAGTAATTTACTAGCTTCGCTGATCACTCATTCCTCGTCCGCTTCTTTCGCTTGTACTTCTCATCGCTGAGTGGATGTTGTCGTATAGTCGGCATATATACTTGGGAACCACGGTATCCGTCTAAACCGAGGTCTTGATAGTGAGGGAGTGTTGTTTTCTGCCGCAATCAGCAATATTAAGCTGTTAATAATTGAATTTGGGTCAGCCTAACAAGTGGTTGTTCGCAGGTGGAACGATCAATAATATTATGATTGTACGATGCAAATATCATTAAAGTCAGATATTTTACCCCGATACCTCTGCTTTGACATCTGAGGCCACCTCCATAGAAGGTCAGACCGCCACCGTCGTCTAGTGGTAGAGCGTCCCCTTCGAGAGCGCCTTCGGAAGGTCCGGGGTTCGATGCCCGGCCGCGCCATACCAAAAGACGCTACTGTTGTTGTTGTTGTTGTTGTTGTTGTTCCCCTGTCCTAGCTCGGCGTTGAGGTGCTAAAATAAGCACTGCTCAGCGCGGCGTTAGTATACTGTGTCCGAGTGGGGTATTAAATTGTTAAATTGCTGCATGAAGACTCAGTCGGATAGCACTATAAAATCGGCACTAGTCCGGACTAGTACAAGCAGCCACACACACACACACACATGTGCATGCCCGCGGCTATATAAGTGCAATAATCTTGGACGTGACGTTAAACCCCATTTCACCTTAGCTGACCTTGGAAGGTCGCGTCAGGGGCCAAGTCTAAATGAAGGATGCGGGGGTACTTGAGTCGATCAGATGTCAGTTTTCTGAAACTCTTCGGCTTCATTTATTTATCCACCTTGATTCTATTTTCGAAATTTTCATGAAAACCCACACAAAACACAAAAAGCCCTTCGATCGTACACCCTTTTGGAGTTTGATGCCATGGCTCTCAGAAACGACTAAGTGTATATCCACAATAAAATGACGCGGCCTTATTTATCTCCATTTGGTGTGTGTCGTTTTAGTTCCCTTTCGAGATACAGAAATGTGATGTGCACGTACGAAGGCTTCGCTCACTCGTACCTATAATTTAGAAACCTCAGCGCGAATTGCCTGTTTGAAAAGTTCACCTGACACGACGTCATTTAGAGGTGCCCTCAGGTCTTCAGACAAAGAGGTAAATTATCGTGGTAAAAGGTCTGCTTTCTGTTACATTGCTTCTACGCCATAATATCGGGCACTGTATTTTCATTGTTATTGTTTTACGCCGCACTCGGCAATAATCCCGTTATATATTACGGCAGTGTTTATGCATTCGAGTCATTGATATTATCAAATCATTTGAGCACTCCTACAGGCTTGAGTAGTTTGGAGATAAAAATACACAATCGCAATTCGGTCGAGTTTGATAAACCTGCATACTGTTCGCATATGCTAGATGTCCTATTTTTGCATAATGTAACACGTTGAGTGTAATTCTTTTTCACTGCTTCCGTATATCTAGAATTCACATAACCTATGCGTTTTCTGTCCGGTATTGCTTCACTGAACTATCAATTGGCACGGAAACTAAAACTACCAACAGTATGGTCATTGACTATTTGACAGCCGCTTTACATACGAATGCGAAAACAGGCATACGACAGGACCTTAAGCTATACAAAAATTTCCCAAAGTTTCTGTATAATTTCCGATTCAACGGGATCCTACAAGAAGTTATAGTTCTAAAGAGAACTGAATTGATAAATCCAACATAATGCAGTGTCACTTGCTGATGTCCCATTATTTACGAAACCATCTTGTATGTGTCATAACTCACGTCTTATTTTGTGGATTACTGTTCCTGTAGCAGGTTCATGTTCAACAAGGCAATCGTAACGCTGCAACTGTCGTAAGTCTTTGTTAAAGTGTAGGATGCAGGATAGTCGTAGGGCTACGTTCGCTTTGTGAAACTAGGCCTGGTATCAGTTAAAATCTGAAATAAAATTCTGAAACCACTAAGTTCTCTTTGATGTGAAAGAGCAAAATTAATATAGTATGAAGTATGTCCCCCAAGCATCAGACTAAAGTACATTTCTCACTTGCGGTGACATGAGTCATGAAAGCACAAACAGCTCATCACGTGAACATCTGATAGGCTGATATATAAAGACACTTACACATAAAACTGATCCCATTATCTAGTGTGTATGTAATATATCTTTATGACATCTGTAAAGCTATGTAAACAAAGAGGGTCGTGTATATTATACGGCCGATTTAGTTTTAATCATACTTATAATAGAAAATGGGTCTCATAAATTATCCATTCGTGAAGATCCGGGTTAGATTAGGTCTTCAGCAACCAATGTTTGCTGTAAAAGGCGACTATGCTTGTCGTAAGGGGCGACTAAAGGGATAGGGTGGTCAGGCTCGCTGACTTGGTTGATGCATGTCATGGTAGACCAATTGCGTAGATCGATGCTCATGATATTAATCACTGGATTGTCTGGTCCTGACTCGATTATTTACAGACCGCCGTCATACAGCTGGAATAGTGCGGCGTTAAACAACAAACAAACAAACAAACAAAGATCCGTGCGGGTATCACCAAAGGGCTAAACGTCAAGGCACCGTTTCACAAAGCAGTCGCAAATGTATTCCAAGAGGAAGAACCACAGACTTTCTTTGTTTCTTTAAATGTTGACATTTCTCGTAGGAGGAAGTTCGTGTGAACCTTAATACCCGTTTTATCAGAGTTTGATAAATTGTGTTCGTTTCAGTCTGCCCTTGGAGGCCTTTCATTGATCTCTAAAATCACCAATAATCTTCTTCTGACACGCGGCTCCGCGTTATAAATCTCCCCATACTTTATGAACTGGCGTTTCTCTAAATTCAGTGCAAGTCTATGGGAATTGTTTGTTTCTCGGCAACCCCTCGGCGTGGTCGATTCTGGGAAACCAACAAGTGCTAGGCAATTTATATTCTGAGTAGGCGCTGAATATCTCTAGTACATAAACTCTGGTGGGATCAGAGAGAATATCTGTTTACCAGCAGATTACACCCTGGATAGAATTTATCAAACATGTCTTTCGGTTTAGATGTATGGAAAAAAATATATGAAAATTATTTTTGTTGGAAATGATTCAAATAGTAATCTGAAAAGACTCCTACAGCAAATTTCTATATACTTACGTAACCATTCAATAAATAATTGTTTTGTAAGAGGCTTGTGAAAGTTTTACGTCGGATGGGGTACATGCCGACCGTAGGTGTGGTGCGACTGATGGCCCAAGATACTGTTTGTGACGCTTGTCTCATGGTTCATTCTAATGTCTGATAGTTAATCTACTGTGTGAAGTTTGTCTGTTGATTTAATCTTCTGTATGGTAGTTTAATCTACTATATGAAGCTTGTCTCCAGGTTTTTTCTGTTGTATTGTAGCTTAACCTACTTTGTAAAGCTTGTCTCTTGGTTTAATCTTTTGTCTGGTAGTTTAATCTACTGTATGAAGCTCTTCTGTTGGTTTAATTAATTGTCTGGTAGTCTAACCGACTGTATGAAGCTTGTCTGGTAGTTTAACCGACTGTATGAAGCTTGTATGTTGGTTTAATAAATTGTCTGGTAGTTTAATCTACTGTATGAAGCTTGTCTCTTGGTTTAATCAATTGTCTGGTAGTTTAACCGACTGTGTACAGAATTACAAAACATTCAAAAGAGGTTTCCGTATTTGATTCCTTTGATTTAATTCTGAAATTCTAGACTTATGATCATCATATAGTAGACGTGTTCACATGAAACGGATCATGGGGGAATCTGCGTGTGTGAATATTTATGAAGCGTTTTTGCGTTAGAATTGATACCCCACTCGTACATTTCTAGTTGCACTGCTCCAGTTGACAATATACAAAAGTGAAGAAATTCATTCAGTAACAATCAATTTTATTAATGATCATGTATTACAAAACACGGTTACCTGAGACAAACGTACATATGTCTACAGATTGTAATATACCTGAGATTAGCATGTGGTTCAGAAAGCTGTCGATACAAGCTGCAGTGTTGATTACGACAATGGAAGCGTTAGAAATGCATGCATCTAATGACAGAACATCCTGGAAAATCTTTGAAATCCTTTAAGAATCTATTTTCAAACGTTTCTAAAACTTCCCTCCACGACATATCATTTATTTGCCAGTTTTATATGCTACGAAATATGAAGAATGCTTACATTATGTCTTACATGGTGTGAACTATTGGTAAAATCTGAGGGAAAAATATGTTTTCCGTGACTTTCAGTAATCGTCGGGAAAGATACCATTTGGACTGACTGGTTCCACTATATTGCCAATCTCGACAGAATAGAATTTTGAAAGAATTATCAACTGTTCTGTATCAACACTGGTTCATTATTAGATTGGTAACTCGGCGGTGACTAAAACATGCTAAAACGTTAATTGTTTTCTCCTATAACATTGATGTATTGATGACATGTTTATTAGTTCCACAACTTGTTCTCATGCTATAGACATTTGGCTAGATCGGTACCGATGAGGTGTTAAGTTTCAACTAACCCACTCCATGTCCTTTGTCGTTCACTATATTGCACGGATATAAGTGTCTTTTTTACATTTACATGTCTACTACATCATCATCTAAACCTCAACATCATAGTACATCATACAGGGCATTGGACATCATACAGGTCATTGGACATCATACAGGTCATTGGACATCATACAGGTCATTGTGAGCGGTGTTAACATAAGCTGTAAAGCTTGTTCACCAATCCCAACTCATTTCAATGAATAAAAATATGCTTAAACCATACAGGTCATTGGACATCATACAGGTCATAGTACATCATACAGGTCAAAGTACATCATACAGGTCAAAGTACATCATACAGGTCATTGGACATCATACAGGTCATAGTACATCATACAGGGCATTGGACATCATACAGGTGTTATCCTATTGTCAGGTGTAAACTTTCTCTTGCCCGGCCGTTCAGATCAATATCACACATGGAATTATTATAGAGCATCTTAACATTGACTGAATATTGGCAGCGGGCAATGGAGCGACGTCCCTTTTTAAGTAAAAGTTTTCAAAATACAAACAAAAATATATTTTAATCATAGTTTCACTTTTAAAAAAACCGTTTTAGTTATTTTTGTTCTTCTTTTAAAATATGGAGTAGTCCTGTCCGTTAAACAAGACAGTACACTGGTGACGCCTAAATAGTGATTCCATGGTACGATATATTGACAACAATCTCTCAATAACTCCTCATGTAACTCAGTGTACGTCTCAATAGGTCATTTGGGGAAAGTATAAACATACACATACACATACAGTTACATAATATTTCATAAATGTAGAACACATATACCATGTACAACATGTAGAACATATGGAAAGTCACTGAAAGGTATAACATTACATAACTACCCACAGCTAAACCCTGTACGGAGCGGTTCTATTGTGAACTATTACAATAACAATCATCGCAGTGACGCGCGTTGACAGAGCCGAAATGGTATATCTGTTCATCTAACCCTTTCCACACGACTAGTCACAATGGGTGGTAACGAAACACGGACGTCACCTGACGCTCGGGGTGGACTTGCAGGAGTACAACAAATTCTGGTTCAAAGTCGTTATTGCAGTTAAGATCAATTATGATTTGCACAGTGATTTTGAAGAATCGTAAACAAAACAGTTGAACTCAATCGTAAGTTACTGTCATCGGTCAATGTTTTCCCAATATGTAGATGCCTATATTGTAATTTAAATCAGAATTAAATTCGAACGTTCTGCATTCAGGTGTGTTACTTTACATACTTACACTTAAAACGCAAGTCCATCAGCGAAAGTAACTGATTTGCGATGGTGCCAAGTCCAGAATACCCTCTAATAGACCCCTAATCCTAGGGTCAGCTGTCTCATTAGAATGCCACCGGGGATTGGCTTTGATACATTGCGTTTCTGTGTTGTGGTTTTACGAATTCCTACAATACTATCACGGAGCACTGATCACTTAATCATGTCATGTTTTCCTGAGCCGCCTCGATCCTACCGCAGATTTCCGCCCTTCCTCGTAAATCCAGGTCTCGTATGCTGCTGTTGCGGGGACGGTATCCTCCCTAGCGACGTTTCCGAGCCGGTACAGGGGGCTGTGGTAGGCTCGCTTCTCTGTCGGTATCTGCTTCACCCATTGTTCCGTACGCGTCCTGGAAGAAACCTTCATCTTGTCCAGCTTCTCGATGACACCCGGTGTCAAGGGTCTGTGTTTCATCCACTGCTTACTCTTGTTCTCCTTGCTTTTTTTGGACTTATCCCACATGTGTGATAACGTCTGCATAATGTCCTCCCCGCTGTAGATCACATCCTCCGAGGACGATAAAGAAGCACTCCCGTCCTTTTTATGGGAATACAATAAACTTGTATTAAGGTCGTGTATAAGTTCCGGTAGGTTAACCGCACTCTTTCCCTGACTAGAAATCCTAGAATTAACACCATGCAATATGTCTAAGTTGGGTGAATCCAAACTCCCTTCCGTGTCTTCACAATCATCATCGGTCCTCGATGTCCTGCTGTGGCGTTGCCTTGGGTCGTACTGTAGTCCTATCAAATCCTTTTTCCTTATGGAAATATCAGGACCAGACTGTCTCAACGCCGATGGAATCTTCCTCTCAGTACACGAGTAAGACACACTTCGCGACCGTGATACCATCACTGGTCTTTTTGCAGATAGGGTGTCCACCAAATTGCGTCGAGCCCTCTCCTTGTTTCCTGGACGCTTGTCTGAGTCCTCGCTTGACACCATGTTGCGTGATAGAGGAGACTGCTCTCTGCTGAGGTCGGGTAAGTACCTCTGGGTTTCAAGCAGAACGACTTTCTTGTTGGGTGTCCGCCGACCCGGCTGGTCGGACATAGCCTGCCGCTCTTTCACTGAACAACACTCCCCTACCCATGGGAATAAAACACACCTGCTTCAATTAAGCGACCATTCGCATTTACACATGCACCAAAACAGTGTTAGAAATTCAGCTGACAATCGCTTAGCGTCAGTGTATGTTCCCAGGCTAGGATTCACGTTATCTGGATATAAGCATGACGAATCTTTCACCAGGTCTGTCTATCTTCTGCTCGTCCATGTTCTACCAACCAAGGCGGCAGCGTAGTGTTAAAGTTATTTATTTCTCTGTTGCTAGCTCTTAACTAACATGCGACCCAGTACGCTCGTGGGAAAGCCCAGCTGATAGAGCGAAACCGAACTGTTCGATCGGAGCAAGTGTCTTGTGATCGACTGGCCGATTACATATGATCCGCTCACTGCCTATCTAGCAATCACCCGAGGAATTCACCTCCCTATCTACCCAGCTCTCAACTTTCACGGCGCTTGTGAAAACCAATGCAAACACTACAAATGACTCACGCATGCGCACGTGTCATTTCAAAACTGTCGTCTGCGCTGCCACTCCATTTCATATTAAAGATACCACGGAGAGACACGAGTATGTCGTTCTCAACAATCAATATAGAACACCTTGTGAATTATTTTGAAATTTGAAAGTAGTTTTATAGAAGTGAAATGAATGCCATATTGAAATCAGTGTATGAAACCACAACAGTGACTTCAATGAGAGATGTCAACACCTTATCAACGTATTGACACAGGGTCTTGTTTGCTGTGTTGAGAATGTTATGGCTGTTCGTGCTCCGAAGTAAAGTAAACCATTTTCAATAACAAATTCCCTGTGAGGTTATCAACAAGGACGCAATCAGGTTTCGTAGACACGTGAGCTGTGACCTCTTGCAACTTGGATGACTTTTTCAGCTTTCATTTGTAGTTGAAGCACAAACAACAATGGCATGATCGTTCACCCTCATTAAACTCGAGAGTCAACATTAGAATCGTACCCGTCCAAGGACAGCCAAACAACCCCCTCTAGGTATCCACCATTGTGTTGTTTACAATGGGACTTGGAACGAAATTGGATTAATGTTTTTCTGTAGCTGTGTTCACGTGAAAGTAAATTAGATATAAAAGCCTATGGGTGTAATACCATTATAATTTGGATGTGGGACGTGGTGTGTCCATCTGTCACTACGGGAGACGGAACGCTACATTAATCGTGCACCATTTCCTAGTACAGTAATGGCTTTGGTGAGTAGCTGACATCAAAACACTGACCAGGAACACTGATACAAATTACTCACAGACAAACGGACAGATATGTCATTAGTCTCACTCAGGTACAGGTTATACACTATAAAGTACATAGGAGTACTCAAGCCGTTCCCTGTTGACCACGAATGTAAACATTATAACATAAACGCTCACAAGCATTAGCATTGATAAAATAACAATGTTCGAAGTCGAGCTAACATATGATAAAGGTTTTGGACAGAATCATCAGTTAATGTGTTCCTGTTCGACGTTAAATACTGTCTTTGATAGCGTCTGATAATACTATTCATCATTTTAATTCAACCAAGAGACGATTATATAAAGAAAATATATTTAATAGTATATATGTTAAAGAATATCATTTATTCAGTCATGAATATTTGTATTCGGTGCACAAAAACTTTGTTTACGTATAGTCGACTCAAACAAGTACTAGAATTTGTACTTTACTAAGAAAGTGTTATCCCAAATATAACATATGTCACATTTGACCCTTTTCTGAGCATTGTTCTGAGTACAGTTAAATCACCCACCCTACAGCCCAGACTTAGCCCCCAGGGACTATTTCCTGTTCCGGCAAATGAAACCTGCCCTACGTGGAAGACACTTCCAGGCTGTCACAGAGGCGTGGTTAGAGGGCCAATCTGCGGATTTCTATAAAAGTGGTATTAGAAGCTTGAAGGCTTGAAGGACAAATGGAATAAGTGTTTGGAGGTGAATGGAGATTATATTAAAAAATAAAAGTGCAAAAGATATTCTGCGACTTGGTCTTATATTGAAGTTTCAAAACTTATTGAACGCCCCTCGTATATGCGGATTCGTAAACAAAGCAGTAAGATAAAATCATAACTGTATTCTGAATCAAAACATAGGATTTATAGCAATATAAAGGTCGCGTCATGTCGGTGAAAGTCATATTATATGATCTTTTGATGTTACGTTATTGATAGGCTTATGATAGTCATTTTATGAATTTAAAACGATCTTGTTAATGGATCAGTTCTCATATGAATGAACTAGCGTTAAACCAGCCCTGACAAGAGATGTTCAATGAATGCCAACAGTAAGCAACAAATCTCATTAAGAACACATTACAAAACATGGCATTATCGTGGCAGTAAAGGCAGGCCACAGTGCTTGTCAGTACAGAGTGATAGCCAGAGTCAGTGCTCTGATAGAACGGGGAACGATGTAGTGGGGGGATTAGCTCGGTTCTGTGGTCGATCACTTATCGATCTTGCCGTGTATGATTGGACTAATTGCCATAGCTGTTTCTCTTTCTCAAACACTGCATAGTATTGAGTCAAATCGCTAGATGGGTATAGTATGGCTTGTTTCTGAATACGTTAGCGGCGCTGCGGTTTTATATATACTGACAGTGGAAATAACGCTACTATCCGTTTAACCTCTTCAGGCTTGGGTTGACTTGGTATGTGTCCAGCTGTTTAATCTTATACCTTAAGTTTGATCTAACATTCATGTGAGGGTCCTGAGTTTGCTGTAAGAGTTGACTAAAATGAGGATCAGGTGGTCATACTGGGTGTCCTTGTAGCATGGCGACGTGTCCTCGTGCTTTCAACCACTTCTTGACTTCCTATAACTATTTAATTGATAACAGGCCACCGGACACATCAGGAACACTGTCGCGTGCGTGTGAGAGAGAGTGTGTGTGTGTGTGTGTGTGTGTGTGTGTGTGCGCGCGTGCGCGCGCAGACAATAGCTCTCTTGTTTGAACTCTCGATAGTAATAAGAGAATCCTTCCCAAGAATCCCCACAGAAATAACCTTCTCAGAAATTCCGATGGGTGAAACCTCCCCCGGATTCCCACAGGTGAAACCTTCACCTGAATTCTCACGTATGAAATCTTCATAGGAATTCCCACAGGTGAAGCCTTCCCATTCCCACCCACATGAATGCCCACGGGTGAAACCGTCACCATAATTCCAGTGAGTAAAACCTTCTCCAGAATCATCGCGGGTGAAACCTTGTCCAGAATCCCCACGTGTAACACCTTGTCCAGAATCCTACGTGTAACACCTTCTCCAGACTCCCCACGTGTAACACCTTCTCCAGAATCCCCACGTATAACACCTTCTCCAGACTCCCCACGTGTGACACCTTCTCCAGACTCCCCACGTGTAACACCTTCTCCAGAATCCCCACGCGTAACACCTTGTCCAGAATCCCCACGTGTAACACCTTCTCCAGAATCCCCACGTGTAACACCTTCTCCAGACTCCCCACGTGTAACACCTTCCAGACTCCCTACGTGTAACACCTTCTCCAGACTCTCCACGTGTAACACCTTCTCCAGACTCCCCACGTGTAACACCTTCTCCCCACTCCCCACGTGTAACACCTTCCAGACTCCCCACGTGTAACACCTTCTCCGGAATCCCCACGTGTAACACCTTCTCCAGACTCCCCACGTGTAACACCTTCTCCAGACTCCCCACGTGTAACATCTTCTCCAGACTCCCCACGTGTAACACCTTGTCCAGACTCCCCACGTGTAACACCTTCTCCAGACTCCCCACGTGTAACACCTTCTCCAGACTCCCCACGTGTAACACCTTCTCCAGACTCCCCACGTGTGACACCTTCTCCAGACTCCCCACGTGTAACACCTTCTCCAGACTCCCCACGTGTGACACCTTCTCCAGACTCCCCACGTGTGACACCTTCTCCAGAATCCCCACGCGTAACACCTTCTCCAGAATCCCCACGTGTAACACTTTCTCCAGACTCTCCACGTGTAACACCTTCTCCAGACTCCCCACGTGTGACACCTTCTCCAGACTCCCCACGTGTAACACCTTCTCCAGACTCCCCACGTGTGACACCTTCTCCAGACTCCCCACTTGTGACACCTTCTCCAGAATCCCCACGCGTAACACCTTGTCCAGAATCCCCACGTGTAACACCTTCTCCAGACTCCCCACGTGTAACACCTTCTCCAGACTCCCCACGTGTGACACCTTCTCCAGACTCCCCACGTGTGACACCTTCTCCAGACTCCCCACGTGTAACACCTTCCAGACTCCCCACGTGTAACACCTTCCAGACTCCCCACGTGTAACACCTTCTCCAGACTCCCCACGTGTAACACCTTCTCCAGACTCCCCACGTGTAACACCTTCTCTAGACTCCCCACGTGTAACACCTTCCAGACTCCCCACGTGTAACACCTTCTCCAGAATCCCCACGTGTGACACCTTCTCCAGACTCCCTACGTGTAACACCTTCTCCAGAATCCCCACGCGTAACACCTTCTCCAGACTCCCCACGTGTAACACCTTCTCCAGACTCCCCACGTGTGACACCTTCTCCAGAATCCCCACGTGTAACACCTTCTCCAGAATCCCCACGCGTAACACCTTCTCCAGACTCCCCACGTGTAACACCTTCTCCAGACTCCCCACGTGTGACACCTTCTCCAGAATCCCCACGTGTAACACCTTCTCCAGACTCCCCACGTGTAACACCTTGTCCAGAATCCCCACGTGTAACACCTTCTCCAGACTCCCCACGTGTAACACCTTCTCCAGACTCCCCACGTGTGACACCTTCTCCAGAATCCCCACGCTTAACACCTTCTCCAGACTCCCCACGTGTGACACCTTCTCCAGACTCCCCACGTGTAACACCTTCCAGACTCCCCACGTGTAACACCTTCTCCAGAATCCTCTCGGTTGAAACCTTCTCCTGATTCTCCACGGGTGAAACCTTCACCGTAATTCCAGTGGGTAAAACCCCCAGAATCCCCGCGGGTGAAACCTGAAAATCCCGACGGCTGTTATAAACCGATATGAGGTTCTGCACAAAAATCGTTCCCCCGACGACATTCGTTGACTATTGAATATGTACCAGTTTATATTGCCGCCCATTATCTGATCTCACGCCGATAAGACAAGCAATAATAACGGGGACTTACACTGACCGGCAGTAATAAATAACTTCTATAGAACGCGGAATGGTGTAAGAGGATACGTAAAGTGTTATTTATTGTCAAACACCGTTTGTAGCGGATAAATCCTCCATCAATAGCCGTTGATCACAGATGTAGTGAAGTATCAACTTCTGTTATTGACGATGTTGTCTGTTATGGCAATAAACCCTTCATACAGACCATCATGGTGTGTTATGAATCACTATCAAATAGTGACGATACCAGGTGTACGCGAGAAGGTGAGCGTATCCTGCCTACCGACTGCACCCGTCACAAAC